TTTTGAGATGGAATCTCACTCTGTCACCCAGACTGGAGTGCCGTGGCATGATCTTGGCTCGCTGCAACCTTCATCTCCCAGGTTCAAGCGATTCTCCTGCTTTAGCCTCATGGATACCAGTTTGTTTTCTTATAAACATTGTAACAAAATGACATTGAAAAAGCAGTGTTATTTAAGGATCTGCTATATGTTGTCTTGCTTGAAGTCACTGTTCATAAGAACCTATATTAAATGAGGACTACCATTTTAGCTGCTTGTAGTCAGTTCATTAATGTTCTGCTTTCTCATATTTGCCTATTTCCCACCTATTTGCCCTGCCCTTTTGTTGAGCCCCATCTAACCATTCATCTCTTCTCTCTCCAGACACCTGGAAGTGTTTCTAGTCTCTCTTTTAGAAGTCTGTAAATTGTTGTAAAACAATAATGAATTGCCTGGGCAGGAACTCTGTTTTGTTTCTTGTATTTAATACCTATTGTTTAGATGTCTTTTTGTTTTAATAGCTTATATATCAGCATAGAAATCTCATAATCTTTATTTAAAAATTTTTTTTTGATAGGATTAAACCTATTTTATGTCTTCATTATACCCTGAGATTACCTAACTTTGAAATCTTAAAATCTGACAAAGGGAACTTTCATAGCAACCTTTTATTTTTCCATAGCTCTCAGACTTTTGTGCCTACTATACTGGTTGCCTTGGTTATTTGTGCTGCTATAACAAAATACCACAGACTAGATAAGTTATAAATAATAGAAATTTATTTCTCACAGTTTGGAGGCTGGAGAGTCTAAGATCAAGGCACAGGCAGGTTGTGTTTCTAGTGAGGGCTGCTCTCTGCTTCCAACATGGCACCTTGTTGCTGCATCCTCCATTGGGTAGGAGCACTGTATCCTCATGTGCCAGGAAAGCAAGAGGGGCAAGTTCATTCTGCAGCCTCTTGTATAAGGATATTAATCCCTTAATCATCCCGAAGATCCCACCTTATTTTTCTTTTTTGGAGATAAGGTCGCACTCTATTTCGAGACTGTAGTGCGGGGGCACAATCATAGCTCACTACAGCCTCAAACTCCTGGGCTCAATCAGTCCCCCTGCCTGAGCCTCCCAGGTAGCTGGGATTACATGTGCATGCCACCCTATCTAGCTAATTTAGAAAAAAAATTTTGTAGAGATGGGGTCATGCTTCGTTGCCCAGGTAGGTTGCGAACTCCTGGCCTTAAGCAGTCCTCCCGCCTTGGCCTCCTAAAGTGCTGGGATTGCAAGCTGAGCCACTGCACTTGGCCAGGCTCCACCTCTGAATACCACTGCAGTGAGGATTGTTTCATGAATATTCATGTCCTCCAAAGTTCCTGTATTGGAAACTTAATTCTCAGTGCACCAGTATTGGGAGGTGAGACCTTTAAGAGATCATGAGGACTCTGCCCTCATGAATGGATTAATGCCATGATCTCAGGAGTGTATTAGTTATTGTGGGAGTGGGTTCCTGATAAAAGGATGAGTTTGACCCCTCCCTCCCTGTCCCCCCATGCTTTCTTGCCCTTTTGTCATGGGATCATGCACCAAGGAGCCCCTTCCCAGATGTACACCCCTTGACTTTGGACTTCCCAGCCTCTAGAGCTGTAAGAAATAAATCTCGGGCCGGGCGCGGTGGCTCAAGCCTGTAATCCCAGCACTTTGGGAGGCCGAGGCGGGTGGATCACGAGGTCGAGAGATC